GCAGCATTGGGTGTTTTCAATTGGTGAACCATGGAATCCCGGTGGAGCTAATTGGGTCGGTTTCGGCGGCGGCGGCCACCGGAGTTTTCGGTGTCTCGCCGGAGAATAAGGCGGCGGTGGCGAGATCGCCGGAGAAGGCGTATGGGTTTGAGGAGTGTTGGCATGGAGAGGATGAGAGTGAACTGAGTGAAGAGTTTGTTTGGAGCAGAGATGAACGTTTGAAGATGGAAATGGAAGCGATTTCGCCGTTTGGATATTCAAATTTCAGGTAATTTTGTCAATTCCTTCGGCTTTTCTTTATTACTCAAATATTTCCCATCAATTTAATATCCATACTAATCTCATTAGAAATTTGATCATTTTTGTCCTTTCCTCACTAAATTTTCAGTTTGTCTTTCAAAATTATGCAATTTTTATCCTTGAATTTTTATGAAGGGGCCGTTTGAATAGTCTAGTCACTAAATAGATTTGTTAAGCAGAGAGAGTTGAGTTGATGTGAAAAATTTGAGTTGTAAGATTGTGGTTTTATCGTCATCGCATAATGTGATTGGATGGATAAACATCGTGATCTTAAGACAAAATCTCAATATTCTTTCCTTTGATTGCATTATACCAAAGCTTACAATAACACCAAGATAGATTTTAAGATTGTGTATTTATCTTCTTACATGATGAACATTACATTTTGAACATTGCGATGATATTTATTTCGAGTATAACCACGCTAAAGTCTAGGCATCACAATGTTTATCTTCATATCACATTACATGATTAATATGATCATGATATGAAACCCTATCGTAATGGCTGCCAAATAACTCCATCAATTTAGTACACACACTAAATTAAGTTATTTTCAATTTTTGTTCCCAACCATTTATGCTACACTATGTCAAAAATATTTTCTTTTAGACGTAAACGTAAACGGTTAAAAACTGGAAAACAAATAAAAGAAATATAAAAAGAAGAACAGTTTCAACCTAAAAAAACGAGAGTTTATGTTGGGATCATTTAAACTTATTTTTGAAAATTCAAAGACAAAAATGCATCATTTTAAAACGCTGGGAATCAAACAAGTCTGTAGCTGAAAATTCATTGACCAAAATATATTCTTTTCGATTATTTTTCAATTTTGTCTTTCAAAATTTAAAAAATTCAATTAAATAATCCAACTCTACATGGCCATTGAAATAGAGCAATAGAAGGGTGATGTGATGTGATATTTTAAGATATTAATTACCACGTACATCTTATCCAACTAAAAAATTATCACCCAATAGATACTGTCTCAAAACATTTTAAATGTCACATCAAACCTCAATAATGTCAATGAAAAGGAATTTGATTGAAATATTTCCAAACGTTGAGAATGAAATTGAAAATTGAGGATACATTTAACATTATTCTTTTAAAAATTTGTTGCTCAAGTACTTTCAAACGAATCCACAATTCAAAGTAGAATTTAAATCTCAAACCCAAATCTAAAATTTTATCCCAACATTATCAATTTATCATCCACTCTCGCTCATCTTACATTTTGGGTATGCAGCAAGAAAATGGAAGCCCTCACAGAAGTAACAGAGAAAGTGGGCGAGAAAATGCTGGAAATTTTCCGGGAAAGTTGTGGGAAATTAGAATTTGCAGAGAAGGAAGGGCATGGATCAGTGTGGTGTGTGTACAAGCAGAAGGAGAGAGTGGATTGGGATAATGAAGAGTGGGAAAACTGTTTGAAACATGATGTGATCAGAATGCTTATAAGGGGAAATGATTTCTCCCATGCTTTTTCCTTCCACTTCTGCCATGGATCTTCTTCTCTCTTCCATGTTTACTCCAAGAGAGGCTGGGTTTCTTTTGTTCCCGATCAGTCCGCCATCGTTGTCACCGTCGGAGATCTTATTCAGGTAAATTAACCTACCTCGTTTCATGTCCGATAACAATTTTGTTTTAGACGTGGGTTTCATTTGAAAATACTTTTAGAGCATTTGCAATGAAAAAAAAGTAGAGAGTTTTAAATTGGAAAATTACAGTGATAGCAAAAATCTAAAATTTTTAAATATAACAAAAATTTCACCTATATAAGTATCTAATTGTATATCAAACAGTCATATTAGTAGTATATTAAATGTATATCACATGAACATTGCACAGACATTCATATGAGTAGAATATCATATGTATATCACATACATATATTAGTAGTTAGATACATTACATATAAATTACAGATATATATCATTCAGGTAAAGTGTTTATCTTAAAAGAACCTTCATTTTTTTTTCTTTTTAAAGTACTATATTTGAAAAAACTAAATATAGCGGTTTATTTTACTAATTTTACTAAAAAAAATTTCCATTTGCAACTGCCGCTTTTAAATTTAATATGAAAAAAGGTCACTTTTATTGTAGGGAAAAAAGTTGGTGGAATCATATTAATTAAAGTGAAGATGGGACTTTTAATTAAATTAATGAGACAAAATTAAGTTAATTTGCACTAATTAATCTCTCTTTTTCAGGCATGGAGTGGTGGGCAGCACAAGCATGTGATTGGTAGGCCAATTTACAGAGATCATAAGAAAGAGGAAAATAATGGAAATAGTAATAATATTAATAATGGCATCTCATTGGCTTTTTTCTTTTCTCCAAACTCTACCTTTTCTTCTTCTTCTTCAATTGCCCCTCAACCTCCCATTGAAATCAAGACTCTTTCATTAGCCCATCAGGCTCTATTTGCTCTCTTTTTCACTCTTCTTTACAAGTTTTTGTTCTACATTCTCAAATAAATCTTAGCTTTCACAACATTTTTTATTCATTCCCCCACACACAGTTTGCTCAATATGCTTCCATTTATTTCTTTCATTTTATATGTACTGATCTTGCACTATATGTATAGTACAAACTTTCTTCTTATAATATTTTTCTGGGTGATATAACTTTGTAAGTGATTGCAATTCCTATAGTTTTACAAATTTGAAGGTGTAATTGTAACAACGAACATATTATAGTATTGTAGTTTAGGTATGAGAATTTAAGCTGGGGGATTATTACAACTTTTTTCAAGTTGAAATTGAGGCAATTGAAAATTGAATACCAATTTTGATTTTGGTTTTTTAGTTGATTTTGAAAGTTAAGTGTTTCTTAATTTTGTTATCTACTTCTTTACATAAGCAAGGGGTCATTGCTTGGTGTAGTTGCGTTTCATGTGACTTGAATCCAATACCTCAAGAATATTCCGAATTTGTTGTACTGCCCCAAGCCACTACCCAAACTATCCCCAGAGACAATTTTGTTATCTACTCTTGAAAACACTTTAAATTTGAAGTCAAATTTTGAAAACTTAAAAAAATTTATATATGTTTTAAAATTTTATTTTTGTTTCTAAAAATTGGCTAAGAATTTGAATGTGTTTTTAGAAAAGATGAGAATCATACCTGAGAAAAAACCAACATAATTTTTAAAAACAAAAAAATAAAAATGAAATCGTTATTGAACCATGCCTAAAATGTGATATCGTAACACCAATACTATTAAGTTGGAAGTATTTTAATTTTAACCAGTATATTTCAATTTATCAAATATATTATTTGAGGTAGAAGTCTAAATTCTTCACCTCGGTACTAAAAAGAAAAAATTAGAAAGAAAGTGATTTTCCCTATTTTCCATTACTGCCATTCAATACACAACCATATCTTCAAACAACTCTTGTGTCCTTGGGTTATTGGTTCAACCATTTATCATTTTAACTAAATTCGAAGTTATTGTAATGAAAGGATTACCTCGGTTAATTAAATAGTATTACAGTAAAACCTAGAAGGTTAATAATGTCCTAACAGTTAACGAAACGATTTAGAAGGAATGAATTTAAATCCCATAATTGTCACCCACCTAAAAATTAATTCCTTCGAAAGAAAAAAGTATTTAAAAAGTGTGTTACAATTAAAATATTAAAAGTTGTTTGATAATTGTTCTAAAAAAATAGTTCTTAAATGTTTTTAAATAATTTATAATTTTTCGTAAATTTTAAAGGGTGAAAATTTCAATTATTTTTAAGAGAAAGGCCATTTGTAAGAATAAACTATGAAAAAGTTTAAAAATTAATTAACCAAACATTTTTCCATTCCATTTTCAAAAAACTTCTTTTCAGATCTATTTGATCCAATAGTCTCAAAGTCATCCCATTATTCTCTCGTTACTAAAACAATTTGGTGTTGATTGTAACATTTTAAAAATAAATAAATAAGAGTTAATTAAGAAATAGTATAAACTTGACTTGGATTGAATGAATAAAGAAAATCAATTCACATACATATATATATATGAATAATTAAGAAAAACAAATGCAGATTTTGAAACCACTTGTGTTCTCATATTGGGTTCTAAATTATACTTTATATTGTGTCACACTCATCCTAACAAAGTCAAATAATTATGTCAAATGTGCATATAATATGATTTTAATTGTCCCTTCTTAAGACATTTGTTTGGGCAAAAAATTACTATATACTTTTAAAAGGTTGGAGCCAGAGACCTCTCATTGATCTAACTAAAATTTTGCAACATTTTACTTTTTCACAAAGACTAAATCAAGTCAATATTTAATCAATAAACACTTGCCCACTCTTTCGATTAACTTCAAACTTGTACCTAAATAATTGAAACAATGCCCATGTGATTGGAAAAAAATAAGACATTTAATTGGTTAAGGAAAATCTGTAATTAGCTAGGCCATATGAGTTGGGCTGGCAGCAAGTAAAATACAATATGTTTAATTATCAATTTCATCCCTATAGTATAGATTTATCTTCCATCTGATCTATATTTATAACAAAACAGATATGAGTTTTTTAATAGGTTAAAAAGTATTTAAGGATGATTTTGTGATGTAATAAAACCCTAAGAAGTAAATTGAAATTTTTAAAACCACGATCCAAATTATAGAAATCAAAACTAAATTTTGTACTTAAAAAAATCAAAATAAACTCAGATGGTATTGACTAAATTAAAAATAAACTTAGTCCATGATAATTTAACTAATACAAATAAAAGTATAATGGCATATAAATAATAATAAAAACTATAAACATAAAAAAACTCCATCACACATGAATTCATAATTATTATGATTTTCTTTAATAACATTTAGATCAGAGTTTTAAAATTGGATGTCTCAATAAAAATGTCAATATCTCAATTTGGTGGGAGCGTTGCCAACGTGAACATAACTCAATTGATTAAAACTATAGAGACTAAATTGAAACTAAACCAAAATTATAAGAATCAAAACTAAATTTTGTACTAAAAAATCAAAATAAACCCAGATTGTAGAAATTAAACCTAATCCATTGTAATTTAACTAATACAAATAAAAGTATATAAATAATAATAAAAATTATAAATATAAAAAAACTCCCATCACATATGAATTCATAATTATTGTAATTTTCTTTAATAACATTTAGATTAGAGTTCTAAAATTCGATGTCTCAATAGAAATGTCAATATCTCAATTTGATAGAAGTTTTGCCAATATGAGTATACCTCAATTGGTTAAAATACTCATTTTTAATTAGAAGATCCTGAGTTTGAATCAGTACCCTCACATGTACTAAAAAAAGTTTTTTTTTTAATGGAAATGTTGATGTATTGGATATTTTTTGAAAAATTATTAAAATAAAAACCATAACAAATATTTAAATTAACCTGTTTTTTAAATAAGTTAAAAATTATTAATATTGTCAAAGTGAGAATAGCTCATTGATAATTGGCATATATCATCGTGAGTTCGATCCCCCACCCCCACATGTTGTACTAAATTTTTTTTATTAATATTAATATTATGTCCATATTTTTTTTATATTTTGTTGATATACTTTTTTATATCTTATCATTTTTTTTTTCTTTTTGCGATACTATGAAAATGTTGATTCACATCTTATGTCAATATCGAAATTGGAAACACTATTTGATTTAGATAATCATTAATTATATAACAAATACAAATTAATTTGTAACTACTTTATTTATGTCAAATAAGATAACCTAAATCAATTATTTATGGAATTGGTAAAAAGAAAAAAGTAATTAACATGTAGTTAATTATACTCTCTTTTTTTAGAAAAAGTTAATTATATTTGCTATTGATTTAATATCTTACGAATTTTTTGGGAACTAAATGGAACATGTCTAGATATAGTGAAATTAATTTAAATATGTTTTTTTAAAAGTGAAGCTAGCCAATCGAAATTTTCAAAATAAAAAAACAAAATGCAGCTGACTGCTGACTGCTGACCGCTGAGCCAACGGATCTAATTTAAATAAATGTTTTTTAATAATAAAAGGAATAAAGAAAATAAAAAAGAAAATTTGGAGGATAAAGAAAGAAAATCAATTGAACGTTTTTAGTGCAAAATAAATGCGCATTGACTTCATTCTTCATATATTATGTGGGCCCCAGTCTCTTCCCAGTTCACGCTTTTCAGTGACCTCATATATATATAATAGATTATTATTGTTATTGTACAAAATCGAATGTAAAATATCTAAAATATAATTTTTCTAATTTTTAAAATTTTACTTTTGAAGTGATGTAGTCAAACTTCAGCATTTCATTATTATCTTACTAGCCCAACCATTTTCAAAGTTTAAAAATGTCATTTTTATTTTTTCGCATTATCTAAAATATAATTATTATTATTTTTTAATCAAATGAGTCAATAGCATTAAGTTAAGTTAAATTTACTGATAATATCATTGAAGAAAAAATAAATTTAAAATAAATTAGGTTATCAATTATTATATCTAGTAAATTATTTCGAAATACTTTCTTAAATTATAATATTACAAACTTAAAGTGTTTTTAATTTTGAACTTATAAACGGGTAAAGTAATTCTTTAATTAAAATGTGATTTTTCAACTTCTAAAAAAAGATTTATTTTTTAAAATGTAATTTTGTAGGTTAAATTAAATATTGGTTATAGGACCAATATTTTTTTTAGTACAATACGTGGGAGGGGATTCGAACTCATTACTGTTGAGTTATGTTCGCTTTGACGGTTATATAACCAACATAAAACACAGTTGAACACATCTATCTTCGACCAAAAGGTCGTGAGTTTGAATCCAGATTTAAACAAATTTATATGTATTTTATTCATACATGTTATTTAAGTTTTTCTATTATTGATTTATTTATTTTTAAGACATGTTAATTTAGTATTTAATAATCTACCCAATTTTAGACAACAGGAACCTTTTCTTTTTGGAGTGTTTTTTTCGTGTAAATTTTTAAATGCTCATTTTATGGGCAACCAAATTTCTATGAGGTGTTAAATCTCTCGTCAGGGTATTCTATAACACTCATTCAATTACTTTTTTAAATTTTCATGATATTGATGTTATATTTTGACTTCTAATTACTAATAAGATAAAGGTTAAAAAAATAACATTGTCGTTTATCTATATACTTTCGATTTTGGTTCATTTTAATCGATATATTTTTGAAACATTTATTTTTGTCTCTGTACTTCTAAAAAGTAATTATTTTAGTATTTGTAGGCTAAATTTTGACACAAATTCTATACACAATGAAAATCCTTTAACACAAAATTATGACTACATCTCAATAAATATATTGAGTATATTGTCACATTGAAGTTGTGATGGGAAAAAAAGAAATAAAAATATATAGATAAACATAGAAACAGAAACAAGTAAATAGAAAAAATGAAATTGTGACGGGAGAAAATGAAATAAAAGTATATACATAAAAAATAAAAGTGAGCGTCGAAAGTATATAGTTGAAAGTATATTAACTAAAATAGATATTTTGGAGTATATTAACTATAACAATTTAAATAATAAATTTGATATCTACTTAATGGAAATAAATTTGATATATATATATTTTTTTAATAGTCACTGACAGACTTTCCCAAATCAGGAAAAAATAGAGGGATAAATGGTCCTCTGTAGAAGTTGTAGACGCGGATGATGTGACTTTTGGCTTCTCCATTAATCAGAATAGAGAACGAGTGAGTCGTGATTCATTACATAATTAACTCCACTTGTCTTGAATGAAAAAAGTTTTATCTTTTCTAACAAGATCATCAATTTCATTCTACCATATATCTTACTCCTATCCAATTTTAAAATCGTCAAATCAATGCAACTTATGCATTTCTTCTTCATGGCATGAGTACACTCATTTTTATTTATTGATTTATCAATTATTGGTTTTGCATTATATTAATTAATGTCAATTCGAGTATGATAAAACATCTATTACAACTTAAAAGTTCGACCTCCAATTCTATATTTGTTGAACTTAAGAAAAACACAAATATTATAAAACAATCTAAGCATAGTTCAATTAATCAAGATATCGTTTACCTAAGTACTTATTATCTTAAATAAAATAACTAATTAGTTTGTATATATATATATATATATATATATATATATAAAATCTTATGAAAAGGATAAATCAGTGAAAAATGACTATAAACACATGAAAAAATGCTTTTAGAAAAAAGATGGAATTGGGTTAGTAATAAACAAAAATATGCAAAATAGTGCTTTCCATGTGGTGATTTACATGGAAATAACAAGAATGATACAACTTTCTAATACTTTTACATTTTTATAAAAAAAATAAATTATTGGTGGTAGAAAATAATAGATGCACTAATATCTCAAATTTTTTTTTAAGGACTAATATCTCAATTATGTTGATGCAGTACAACTTCATCATCAAACAAAACCTAAAATAAAGTTGCTACATGTATCATTTCTTTAAGTTACCTGTCATGGATGAGAAAATCTCAATTTTCTACGATTCAAATTCCCTTTATTTAAGAATTCAAAAATGAAATATCTCTATGGAGAAGATATCTTGATTGCCTCGACATTCTCTCTAGATTCAGATAACCAGATTTCCTAGATGTATCAGGATTCGAATTCCATAATCGCTGGAGGGATCAGGATTCCATTCTTATAAATATGGAAGTAAGTCAAACCTAGGTATGCTCACAACACTCTATATTTTATACTCAACTACTCTGATTCTTACTTAAGCATCAAAGCCTGTGACCGATTCTAACTTAAGCATCGGAGCCTGTGTGGCAGCCACACAGGTCTTTAATGCTATTTTGTTTTGCAGGTCTCATCGATCCCTTTTATTTTTGAAGATTGGTGTGAATTTGACGGAATTCCAAGAGGCCAAATTTCTCAATCAACAGCTGGCGCCGTCTGTGGGAACGACTAAGATCTAAAAGTCAAGAAGATTGACAACGAATTGATCGAGAACTGCTCGGATCCGAAGAGAGATCTTGGGAGAAACAAATGGGCATGGATTCTGGAGGCTAAGCATAACGACGAATGCCATACGACTTAGGGACTACCCCTACCCGAGGTAGCCGATGGAATGAATGAATCAACAAATTTCAGCACAGAACCTGGGTAAGTTAATCAACAGCTGGTCAAACAACTCGAATTGGGACAAATCTAGAAGCAAGTCGATAAGTTAAAAGCCAGTTAGTGAAACTGGGGAAGAGAATCCCAATGTGCTGAAAAAGGCATGCATACAGGCCAAGGTTAAAACAAAAAGTAAGCAAGCCTAACTAATCATTGAAATCCAGTGGTAGAAAACCATTTGGTAAAAACCAAAATAAGTTAAAAACCCAGAGGTGTTGATTAACTTAGAGTAAAAAAACCGACAAAAGCCAAAACGTTAGAAACCCAAGGCCGACTAGACTCAGGTATAAAATCATTGGCAAAAGCCAAATAGGTTAGAAACCCAAGAGTGAATCCTGAGGTATAGAACCATGGGCAGAAGCCAAATAGGTTGATTAAATCAAGAGACTTGACTACAGCAACTACGACAAAAAGGTATAGGGGCTATGACAGGCTAGCTCATAAAAACAACAACCGATAACGACAAATACTCTCAACACTAAGGGACTAGATTGCAGCCAACTACAACAAAAGAAAATGGGGCTATGACAGTCAGCTCATAAAAAGTGACAACTAACAACGACAAGTACTCTCAATGCTAAGAGACTTGATGGTAGCCAACTATAACAAAAGAAGATGGGGACTAGGAAAGTTAGCATAATTTAGACGACAATCAATAGCGACTAAAATGAGGCTATTCACAAAAATAATCAACCCATGAATCACAAAATACTCTCAGAGAGGGTTGGGCTATTGTTTTGGATGAGAAAATCCCAATTTTCTACAATTCAAATTCCCTTTATTCAAGGAATTCAAAAGGGAAATATCTTGATGGCCTTATGATTTTGATATCCTCATAGATGTATTAGTATTCGAATTCGACAATCCCTAGAGGGATGAGGATTCAACTCCTATAAATAGAGAAGTAAATCAAACCCTAAATGTAACATTTTATACTCATTATTCTGTTTCGCAGGTCTCGTCGATCCCTTTTATTGTCGAAGATTGGTGTGAATTTAACGGAATTACAGGAGACCAAATTTCTACATCAACATTACCAAATCAACTTGATGAAATAATATTAATAACAAATTCGAGATGACTTTTGAATAAAATATTTTAAAATCAAATAATATTAATAATAAATTTGAGATGATTTTGAAATTATCTCTTTAGTGAGTCTAAAAATAGTTGACATGTTTTTTGTTTTTAATTTTTTTTAGTAAACATGTGGGGGCGGGGATCAAGCTACCTCTTGGTTAGAGATATATGTCATTTATCGTTATGCTTGCTTTAGCTTTAAAAAAATACTTGGCTTAAAGCTATTTATTTGTGGTCTAACTTTAGTTTGTAACAATTTAGTTCTTGTATTTTAAAATTCGTAACAATTTAACCATTAAACTTTCATATATAATAATTTCGTTTCTATAGTTTAAAAATGGTTACAATTTAATTTCTAATGTAAAAAATTTCATCAAAATTAAATACTATTTCTTATTATATAACAATATAATGTTTATAAATTATAAATACATTTAACCGCTCGTTAGTTTATTGTTATACACATATAAGAAACCTTATCAAATTTTAACAATATTTTTTATGATAGGAGTTCGATCGTTACAAATTTTAAATACAGGAACCAATTTGTTACCCATTTAAAACTATAAAAATTAAATCATAATAAACTAAAGTTCAAATATTAAATCGTTATCTTACTTTTTAACCGATCTATTTTCACCCGGCCATGAGCTTCTGTTCACTCCAAAAGAAAAGAAAAAAGGCAGATTTAATTATGTAAAAGAAAAAAGAGAAGTTCTAGAAAGTCAAGGAAATGACTCATCTTCTGGAACAATAGTAATAGGAGTGAGAAGAAAACTTAATATTCATTCACGCCAAAAATATATATTTGTTAAATTATTGGTAATCCTCTAAAGTCTTTTTTCTGTGATTTCTATTAGGAATTATTGTCAAATTATAGAAGCTTTGGTTGGTTATAAGTCGCTTTGTTAGGAGCGTATAAATTTGTATATATATCTCTCTGTTTCATACGAAACTCTCTCTCACATGTTACTCTTCCTCTGTTTCTTCTTCTTCTTCTTCTTCTCTCATAAGATTTTTCCATCTCTTTATGAACATCATCAATGGCGGAACCAAACACTTCAGAATCTGAAAGTACCAGCGGCGGAGCTCCCAAAACTTCGGAATTGAAAACGGGAAATCGGAGGGATCGAGAACAGGGGGAGAAGCACCCAATTTACAGAGGCGTGCGGAAAAGAAGTTGGGGGAAATGGGTGTCGGAGATCCGGCAGCCGCGGAAGAAGTCTCGGATTTGGCTCGGGACATTTTCGACGGCGGAGATGGCGGCGCGTGCCCACGACGTGGCGGCGCTCAGCATCAAAGGCGATTCGGCCAAGGCGATTCTCAATTTCCCCGAGCTCGCCGGGTTGCTGCCCCGCCCGGTGTCGCTAATGCCGCGGGACATTCAGGCCGCGGCGGCGAAGGCGGCGGCGATGGTCAATTTCGATGGTTCCACTACGGCGTCGTTTTCGTCGGCGGAGTCCGATGAATTGGGGGAGATTGTGGAGTTGCCCAACATTGAAGGGGAAATCAGGGATGAGTCGTGGAACGAGTTCGTGTTGGTTGACTCGGTTGACCGGTGGGGATATCCACCGTTTGCGGAGGAGGAAGCGGATTTGTTTGGGGGATTTTCCGATCAGAGTACGATTCCGATCAGCTTCGACGGCGGCGTTTGGGAGTGAAAGTAAAAAACCAGCTGTCGTGTTTGGCGTTTGTTTTTGGGTTGTCTATTATCCAGGTTAACACGATTAATGATAAAGAAAATTTAGTCTAAATCCACTTTATGTGAGATTGTGGCGATTTTGGAAAAATAAAAAGAAAATGAAAGTAAGAGTTTCAAAATTAATTTTAAACAATTGGGTAATTTTTGTCAGGAGGAAATTAAGAAAACTACTTCCCTCTCACCTATAAATATATTTTCACAAGGAAAAAAAAATCTCTTCCTCTTCCCCCATCATGCATTCCTCCCTATTGTTTTAACAATGGTCATGTTGTTCTAAAACTATTTTGAAGCAATTTGATTAATCGAAATGAAAATAAAGAATGTTTCAAATAATCAAATCGAAATCAGAATCGAATTTTTAGTATTGAGAAAGAATTTAAGTATTGACATGTTAAATTATGTAGGTAAAAACTATCCCAAATGGAAAATATTTTCTACAGTAGTATATATACTGAAAAATACTTTGTCAATCTACGAAAGAAAAAAAAAAGACTAATTAGCTTACGTCTAAAGTAATATTTCAAATTTCAGATTAAATGAACTTTGGAGTTGGAGCCTGTGAAGTCAATATCGATGAAGTTAAGTGATGGGTTTGAATTATTCGCATGATTTAACTTTGTATCTATTATCCAACACGTAATGCAATTTTAATTTAATTTAATTTCACGTCAAATAGTTTATAAACTTTGAAGTAATCATTAGTATTGAATGCCAAAACGCCTTTTTTTTTTCCCTTCTAATCCAGTTTAGCGATTTCAATTTTAGAAAATATTTAAGATAATAATTTTATGGTATTAAAAATGAGTAATGGTTAGGAACTCATCAAAAGTCAATTTGTCAAGGTGTATACTTTGACTAAAAAGTTGTGGATTTAAACTTCAGCTCCACTTATTGTTGTGTAAAAAAAAAGAAAAATATTAATTGTTAGTATTTTTTTTTGCTTAATTTAAGCAGTGTCTAATTGCTTTTTTAGATTCTTATTTATAAAAATTGAAGTTCTTTTTTTTAATGAGAATTTTAGTTCTGATGGTTTTCTTAAGCTTTCTAGTTAATAATTTATTCTTTTTTGGCCTACTTTTTAATACTTAAAAAAATATAAAACTTTAGATATATTTTTATGAAGAAAAAGGAAATCAATGAAATTATCAGTAAACAACTTAATTTTTAAAGAGAGAAATACTAAAGGAAATGGGTCATTAGGTGATTATCAAAATAATTAGTAATTTCGTAAATTACATGGTTTACAATCATCTTACCAAAATTGAGAAATTACCTTTTTATATTTTAGATTTTTCTTTTCTAAAAGTTAGTTTCAGGTTGGGAGAGAGCCCAAAATTTCAGCATAACCTGTTCTCTACTCTACCTTCTCCTTTTCTTGCTTATCTTTTATTTTATGAATTTCTCATATTAATCGTGTTATAAAAGCGTTCAATTATATTGAAAGTAATTAATATATGTATATATATATATATATATTTATATATCGAACATGAAAAAATATGTTTATAATGTTATTCTTATCCAAATTTTTTGTTTATATCTTTCTCTTCACTCTTTAATTGTATTGTAACCTAAGCATAATTCTAATTATAATATTAATAAATTCTATAAAAAGAGAATAAACTTTTATCTACTGATAATTTAATTAATGGGAATATTCCATCTTCTTGTACCAACAAAACTTACTCATATAGCAAAACCATCCCACAAAAGAAAGAGAAAAGTTTGTCAAAATCTGCCCAATCACCAAATAAACTAAAGATGTGAAATTTCAAATCATCACTAAACTAAAAAAGTTTTTTAGTTTTAAGGGTATGGTATATTTGATTTTTTTAAAAAATATATATTCATAATACTTTTTCTCATACATAAACTCAAATATTATTTTGATTCATAAACTCAAATCCAATATGTGAGTGATTAATTTTATTAGTTTCAAAGAAAATAATATGGTAGAAATTTTTGAACTCATAACTTCTTAAGCTTAGATCAATATTAAATTATCAATAAACTCGAATAATAAATTGAGAGTTTATGATATATTATTCTTTAAGAATTTATTAGAATAATTTAGCCAAAAGTATAGACTTGTAAGGACTTTGATGAGAGGAAGCTAAAGGTGGGTGGGTTTAGATAGAAGAATAATGCGTGTTCGTATTAAAAATGGATGAATGGTGTAACTTGATATATAGTTGCATCAAATAATTAATGTTTATTATTTCCAAATAAAAAAAAAGAATATATATGAAGGGTTCAGCAATAATTGTCTTTGTTAATTTTAGGGATTAAATCAAAGTTCACCCTGTTTAGGTTAGGTTTATATGATGCCATTTCCTATTCATGAATAAATTAAACAGAATCGGCATAAAACTAAAATAAATTCACATGCCAATTGAATGATTTAGCTTCAGATTTATATGACTATTAAAGAAAGGCTATATACTTTGACCTAATAATAATAGATAGTCTACTTCAGCAATGTCCAATATAGAGGCACGTGAATGAACCTATACTACTTCAAAATCAGAGAAATAATCTTAAGACTATTATAACTTCAATGCCAAAACGAGCATAGCTCAACGGTAATTAACATATATCTCCAATCAAGAAGTTGTGAGTTCGATCTCCTACTCTCTCATATGTTGTGTTAAAAAAGAAAAATGTAATTCCATATATCGATCAAATAATTTATTTTTTTTATCATTCATTTATATACGAACTTCAAAGTCAAGCATGCAATGACAGTGCATGTTGAAATAATTTGTGTTGATTTGTAAAAGACAATCTTCTTGCTATTAATATAGACAAAATCAAACACTTCATATTATTGTCTTTTTTTTTGTTTTTCAAATATCATAAACGTGTTTGGTGCATTTGCATAGATATGTTCTCGCTTATTTACTTATTTTACATTTTTTTTCTTCATTTCAATAATTTAGGTTTCATAGTTAATCACATTTTACTTTTAATTCTCTGTTGGGTTAGTCAATTTAATCATTTAATTGAAAAATACTATTAGACCACCTCTTCATGAGTTTGTCTTATATGGTGGTTGAGATCGACAAATCAAACCATTTGAAAATTTAATGAACTTTATTAAGCTCATGGGTTAATCAATTAATTAATAATTAAACACAGCTGGAATCGACTTTTTTTCCTTTCTCTCTCTCTCTCTCCCTTTTCTAATCTTTGTTTACTTTGCATATGAAAGATGATTGAGCTTTCCTTTTACCAGACAATATACGTTTGGTTTAATGTCCCACAAGAATAAGTTAATTCTTCGTTCAACAATATCTGCAATATCTGATTTGATTTTGTGTAGGTTATAACGGTCTTATTCTAACTGGTTGAGCTATATTCAAATTATAGACATAATTTAATCTAAATTAGTAAATAATTGATATCTAATTCCACAGTTGTCTTACGGTATATAACATTTTAAACAAATGAAATTAATTTGCTATTCTACGTTGCCTCTTTCTTTCCTTCAACTAAATTAAAGTTTTATCTTATCCTAACAAGTTGATCTATATATTCAAGTTATAAGCATAAATTAATCTAAATTAGTAATAGTTGATAGCTAATTTCATAGTTATCTTTACCATATATAACACTATACATTAACATTTTACATCAGAGGTTGGGTTTTAGCATAAACATTAATACATGTAAATTTTAACCTGATCAATATAGTTCACTTGATATATATCTTTAACCAGAAAACTTCAAGTTCGAATTTCTATTCATACATGTTGTTGTACTAAAAATAAAAGTACTATATCTCTCGGTGCTTCTATCTCTTATTATCTCCCAGTGAGAATCACCCTTCAAAGATAAGAAACATGGTTGAGAAAAAATTAAGAACCCATCGTATTTTCTTTCCATATATGGTATTGCCCTCATATCTATACTATATAATTAAGTTAGGCTGCTACGATTTTTTATCTTGAACTTGATTTTTTTCATATTTTCTCACACACTTGCTCTCCACGTTGAACACCTTCAACAGTTATATTTTCCTAATAAATAAAGTAAACTAGTACTGCAATAAAGTTGAAAGCTAACAAAAATAGAGAGTGGGTACCAAAATTTCAACTTGGGGGCTGCTTTGATAGTGAGAATCATAAACGTGGCACAGAGAAAAATGCTTTCATTAGTGAAGAAAATGACCAAAAAATCTTTCATAATTGTGATTGAAACTTCTTTTAAGTTGAGATGGCTAAGCCACAAGAAGACAGCTGAGTTACTTCCAAGTCTATAAATTTCAATTATGTGGTAACATGTGTGCGCGTGATACCTTCTAAATTCCTTCTAAATTCCAATTGTATGTCAGTTGAAAATTTTGGCTCACTATTAAATCTAATGTGACAAATTTAAAATTATATTTAGGATCAATCACAAATTTAGATTTATTTTAAATTAATTTAAAAATCGTCAAATCAGATAATGTAACGTATCTTTCTTATGGTCATCCAATGACATTGACTTATTGGATCAACCGAGAAAGAGATTGGGTCAAAATCCATTAAGCCAATGAGAAGAGGCTTACAAACTCTATAAATAGAGAGGTTAGCTCTCATTTGAGAGACATCCAGAAGGATTCGGATTTGCGATTTAGAATCGTCTACAAGTACTAAGTGTCAAGCAAAGCTTTTAGAGTTGAAGATTTCATCAAGCAGAAAAGCCGAAAAGCTTCATCAAGCAATATAGTCGAAGAACTTCAACAAGCCAAAAAACTCACAAGCTATAAGCCGAAGAACTTTATTAAGCTGCATAGTCGAATAATTTCAACAAGCCGAAGAACTTCATCAAGCAATAAGCTGAAGACTTCATCAAGCTGCTACGAACTGGACACTTCATCAAGCTACAAGCCAAAGATCTTAAACAAGCTCAAAGTCGAAGAACTTCGCTAAACTACAAGTCGAAGACTTCAAAGATCTTCAACAATATCTCAAAGTCAAAAAACTTCATCAAACTACAAGCTGAAGATCTCAAAGATCCTTCAACAAGCTATAAGCGGAAGGCACCAATCTCCTTGATACGAGAACAAGCTCTTCAGCCCTCAATTCAAGTTTACACCCAAGAGAAAGTATTAAAGGATTATAGATTGGAGATTATAACACTATATACATAGATCTCATTCACCAAAATTCCTCGCGAGCACATACTTTTGTACATAACAGACATAACTCATTGAACAATTTGGGTTTAATTTTGTTGTTAATGATAATTTTTTTTCAATCATCAATATTTGTCACGTTATTATTTTAGATTAATGACAAAATTATATATTGTTAAACTTGGGACCAATTATAAATTTACAATGTCTCCAATTAAATTCTAAAATTGATAAATAATATAATGTCGTGTCTTTATTTTTTATTTGTCTAATGACATTGGTTAAATCAAATCAGCCCATGCAACGGTTGCTCAAATGAACCGTCAATTATGTGTGATCCAGGTTCGATCTACAAAAAAGAAAATTTTGTTAACAAGGAATTTCTGAGAGGTAAAACTCAAAGTAAATGAACTTGATTTATATCGATAGAAATAAAGTCCAGGAGATTCTCAACTAGGATGCATAATTAAACAATTAGATCTAAATCAAAACCATCACACATTAACAACATAATAAGGGAGAATGATGAGAATTAGGACACGCAAGAAGTATAGTAGTTCGATCAAGTTGGTCATGTATCAACCATGCAAGGTGAAAAGTTTTTACTGATCAATAAGCTTGTATATAAAGATGAATAACATCCAGCCCCTTTCTTTGAAGAATTCAACACTCACACCACTCAAGCCGAGGAAGAAGATGACGTATTCTAATCCCTTCTTGCCTCTTTCTCTTTATTTTAAGAAAATTAAAAATTCTTTACTCTCCCCAAAATAACCAAGTAACTAACTTTTGCTGACTAAGCTAAAATAAAGTCACGGAGGTAGCTTGCGAACATGACTCCAGCTTGGACCCATAAAAGCTCCAGCTCAAATATGAACGGATTAAAATTAATTATTAAACAGATCAATGACGTGATTAATATCAATGACGAGGCTTTAAATATGTATATTAAATATTTAAATGGATAATATAGATTTCACAATTTTTTGATCAGGTATAAATACCTTAATTTGTGAACTATATGCACAAGTTTACCCGATTTATATGTATTGATATGTTAACATGAATATGTATATTAAAACATCTAGATTTGGTGGATATAAATATTAGGTTTCAAACATGGCCCGATAATTATCTAAAAAAGATTTTTTTATTATATTAATTGAGGATAATTTTATTACTCTAACGAAAAAAACATAACAAGAGAGAAATTTAACGATGGAATAACGTAATGATAAAATTAGTTATTTAAGTACTCAAATAAATATTTAAAAGTAAGTTTAGAATTTAAGAACTAAAAAGAAATAAACAACCTTTTATAATTCAATAATTTGTTGGTAAGTCCCTCTTTTAGCGTCAAGAAAGTTTAAACGATTTAAATTCTGTGATTTGAAATTTAAGAAATGATTTTAAATTTTTTATCTTGTTTAGAACGTGGATGATTTGAAATGAAATAAATTAAATTTCTTTGTTTGGAGATTAAAAAAAAATATAAATTTTACTGATTTGAACTTTTAATCTAAGTTTATTATATATAAATTAAAAAAATGACAAGGTTAAATTTGTAATCTACTTTGAAATTCTATTAAATCCATCAAAATTTGAACATTTTGATCCGAATTTTTTTTACATAAAAACTGGATCCGTCAATATCATGTAGTGCCAAAGAGCAGAATTTATTTAAAATCTATCTGATTTTGAAATCCCTCAAAATTTGGGATACCAAAGAGGACAATAACATCTTTTTTTTTCTTCTCCTGGGATAAATCAATTTCTCATTAAGTTATCATAAAAAATTATGAATATTCCATCCATTCATTGTTTTTAAGTACAATCTTTTACTACTTGATATACGAACCTTTTATTAGAAATGATGCAGCAATATTTTATGTATTTCCTAAAAAAAAGAAATTATGTAAAAATAAAATTATAGTGGGGACAGTAAATACCATAAAAACATCTACTTTCAACGCTCTTCCCATACCTATTTATTAATTTATTTATAAACCCATTGCCCGGTAGCAAGCAACCCTCTTGACAGTTATTTCCGTTTACTTATCTGCAATCGTAATGAGAATGAATCATAATAAAATTCAATCGTAACAAAATCAATCGGAATGAGAATGTTATTTTAAATTTTCTGGAATCCTTTGATATTTACTAAACCGAAATCGAAATAGGAATCAGATATATACAATTACTAGTATACCCCTTTATCATTTTTAGTTACTTACAAATATATTATTTTGCTAATCTTTTTTAATTAAATAATAAATTTTAATTTAATTTATTACTATATTATTGTTAGTAAATACTATAACAATTTATTTAATATTAATAAATAATGAATAATTAAAATAAAACTACATCAAATAAATAATGAATAATTAAAATTACATTAAATCAAATGAATAATGAATAATTAAAATAAAATTGCATCAAGTAAAATAATTTTTTATTTCAACAGTTTAATATAATATATTATTAAATTTTATTGTTATAATATTTAAAATTAATAATTGCTATTTTAAAAAATCTATTTGATATTAATTAATATAAATTTTTAATATTATATAATAAAATTACATCAACTAATAAAAATTGAATTATAAATGGAGAAGAAATTATAAAAGTATAAAAAAATTATAAAAAATTGTATGGTCTAATTAATACATAACCCCAGAATAAAGATCTAGAATTCAAATGAGATTGATGGGGTTTTATAGGGGTGTAATGGAATTAAATCGGATAAATGAGATTATAAAGTTTGAGGCGGTCTCACTATTTGATTTCATTCCTACGATTTGGTAAACACGGAACTAAAGTTTTCATTACGATGGCGGACAAGTAAATGAGACCTTATTAATAAATATTATCTTTTAACATTTCTCAAACTTATTGTTTATTATTAAAGTATCAAATTTACCTCAGCTCAGAATCGGTTAAATTGCATATAATAATGTTGTTTTTTAGGTTCAATAAGGATTCGAGAGTTTAAAAATCATAATGGATTTCAAATGAATACTACTATTTGATACCCAAATGATTTTGAATGATTTTAAATCTTGCTTTAAAAAAAAAATTTGGACCAAAATTGTTGGATTTTGCATGATTTTATAAAATTCAGAGTAAATTACCTGCCTAACCATGTCAAATTTTAATTTCTAATCAACAAATTTAGATTAAAAGTCCAAATCAATAAAATTTTTATTTTCGCAAACATCTAAATAAAAAGTTTAATTTAATTAATTTGAAATCATTCTGGAAACAAGATAAAATATTTAGAATTTTAAATGAACTTTCTCAACGCCATTAAAAGAAAAATATGTTTGGATCAATGTTTACCAAATGAGTTGCCATCCAGTTACAACAACTCACAACGGTCCTGTTTTGACGAAAATAAATAGCAAACTGAACACATGTTGTATTTATAAAAAAAAAAAAAAAAAACCTAYAGTATGAACAAGTCCAGCTTAAGCTACACTATCTGTTATTTTATTCAGCCCCTCGTAGTTTGACTTCCAAGACGCGTATAATGATTGATGGGAAATAATAATAAAAGCCCACTCCCATTCCCCTGCATTAATTTGTTCAAGTTCAAAGTTCTGAATTCGCCGGAATCGGAAGAAAGGAAAGAAAAAAATGGATCCAAGGCTTTTCCAGGCAGTGAAATGGAACGACAGAAGGCGTTTCAGGAATCTGGTGGACGAGAATTGGGAAATTCTGAAGCAGAGATCAGAAGAGACGGGGAACACGGCGCTGCACTTGGCGGTGAGGCACGGCCGCGTTGACTTCGTGAAGGAGATCCTGAGGCTGTGGCCGGAAGCTGCGGCGGTGGAGAATCTGAAGAATGAGACTCCATTCCGTAAAGCTTGTAAGGAAGGATCAGAACCCGAAATCTTAATGCTGCTTCTGGAGATGGAGCCATGGGTCAGATCTGAACTCAGCCATCGAAATCAGAGCCTGCTGTTCGTGGCCTGCAGCCATGGTCAAGTGGATGCTGTCAAGATCCTTTTGAAACACCCCTGGCTCCACAGTTTAGACGACCACGCAGCTTGTTTTCTTGAGGCTGCCTCTCAGGGATACTTGGGTAATTTCAAGTTTTAGTAATGTCTTACATTACAAGTTTGGACGTCCTATGAGTCTAGGACATTCTTAAAAAAAAAATAATAGTTTATAAACTTTCAATTTTGTGTTTAGATAAAGAGTTAATTATTGTAACATTCTACAATTTTTTTGTCGTACTAACTTCCCATTCAAAATAGCAATGGACGTTTATTCAAACGGTATAAATAAATATTTATAAAATATCAAGGATTTTATTGAAACAGGATATTTTTTAAGGCTAGAATTTAGTTATTTCCAAACGTTGGAAAAAAACATGGGCATTTGTGTGTTCTTACTTTTTAGTCTCTTTTGTTGTAGAAGTGTAGTGCAGCAAATTTAGTAAAAGGTGATGGTTGGTTGGGTGCAGGCTTGGTTAAAGAAATATTAGGGAAGTTCCCAAAAGTGGCCGAAAAGGTGGACGATAACGGCTACTGTGGTCTGCACAAGGCTTGTATTAGCGACAATGTGGACGTAGTGAGGTATCTGTTGGGTCATCATCCTCAGCTGGCTCGCCAATTCAACAACTTTGGCTATACGCCGTTGCACTTGGTTGCTATAAACGGCAACACTCCCATTCTTCAATTATTTATGGACCTTTCTCCACTCTCCTTATTGGATCTTACGAAACAGGGAGACCCAATTCCTCATCTCACCATTCGGTATGACCAATTCCCTACTTTTCTACACTTGGCTGAAACCTTCCAAACACATGAATCATTCTTCAATTCTGTTGACCTTCATGGGAATACTCTTTTACATATTGCAGCACTGTGTGGACGACTTCAGGTAAAACAAAAATCCTCTCTTTCTCTACTTTCTTCACATATGAACTCATCAATACATAATTATATACTAACTGAGAATGTAATCAAGTCTGGTTTCTAATACATTTCTGATGTGGGTTTGCCTTTTTGAATAATATGTTGCAGTTTGTAGAATTCTTGATCAATAAAATGAAGATGTGGATAAATTATCAGAACACAGAAGGGCTGACAGCCCTTGACATGCTCAACAACCTTACCGGTAATGACAGTGAGGAGTTCCAAATTCTTGAGGACATGTTAAAAAATGCCGGCGGAAAGAGAAAAATAGAACTGACAGATTCCACAATTATTGTTTCAACTAGCGAGAAGGGGGAATGGATTCAGGAATGGATTAATTCTTTGGATCCAAATTTGTTGGAGGAGGATCATTTGCAGAATAGTATTGACTTAAATCATGATAAGAAGGAAGAAGAAAAGAAGATTCATTCTTTGGATCCAAATTTGTTGGAAGAGGATGATTTGCAGAATATTGACTTAGATCATGGTAAGAAGGAAGAAGAAAAGGAGATCCATTCTTCGGATCCAAATTTGTTGGAGGAGGATGGTTCGCAGAAGATCATTGACTTAGAGCATGATAAGATGAAAAAAGAAATGAGGATTCATTCTTTGGATCCAAATTTGTTGTTTGAGAATCACGGGCGACAGATCATTGAAAATTTGAGGAGAAATAATATTATCCCTCCTAAGGAGGAACAAGTTGATCAAGAAGAGAACAAAGATGGGTCTATTATTTCAATATCCTTGGAAATGCAACAGCATCTCAGCCAAAACTGGCAGGAAGTTAGAATAAACAAAATGGATAAGAATCGTTCTCGGAGGGAAAAGCAACACGATATGTATAAGGAGGCACTACAAAATGCAAGAAATACAGTTACTTTAGTTGCATCTTTGATTGCTACAATTACGTTTTCGGCAGGCACAAGCCCCCCCGGTGGGGTTCACCAAGACGGCCCACTGATTGGAAAAGCGGTATTCGCCAAAACAAAAGGCTACGAAGTATTTATAATAAGCAACAGCATTGCAATGTCGACATCTCTATGCATCATGATGGTTTTAGTGAGTATCATCCCTTTTAGAAAAAAGTTAGTGCTGCGACTTCTTAAGATTACTCATAAAGTGTTGTGGGTGTCTCTAGCATTCATGATGATGGCTTTCACGTCGGCCACATGGCTCACCTTGCCTCAAGATTTCAAAACAAATTGGCTTCCGAATGTGATATTAGCAATGGTGGGAGGGACTATGGTAACACTTTTCATTTATTTGGGATTAGAGTTGGTAAAGCATCGAATGAGAAAGCTCAAGTGGAGAAGAGAGAGAGTCGAGAAGCCAATTGTTCATGTTCGTAGTAATTCCGATGACAATTCTGACCATAAATCCACGGATGATCTATCGTCTAGTAAAGCTAAGTCAGAAATAGAACGACGTGATCTAAGAAAGCTCTATTCATTATCTACTAATTCCGATGTTGCCAGCTCTAGAGGCATAGGTGGCCACGTATATTAAAGACATTTTTGTGAGTGATTTTAACTGTGAGTGATTTAATTATAAATAGTTTTGTAAAATGTTCAATAAAAAAATTATTTTACTTTCGGTTCTACTTTTTGAAGCAGTGATTTGAATGATTAATGCATTTTTTATTTCAAAAATGATTTCATAATAATTATATTACTTAAAATTACCTCCCAAATACGGATTCTCTCAAAATATTTTGTCTTCACTAATTCTAGTCAAACGTGTTTAATTTTAATGTTCTTATGATTGAGTCAACCAGAATTGTGCACATTATTGTTAGTATAAATTCTTTTAAGTCTTTCTTAATTATGCTGTCAGGATCCCTCCCATTTTGACGTGCTTATTAATATTCATTTGATTCCATCTCAAAACCAATTGACATTAAGATGAGTAGCTCACATATATTATAAACCTATCTAAGGTCCCTCTTTTCAATGTGAGATCCATAACAAGCCCTTCAAGATCGTGGATTTTTTGGTTTATCGATCTTAGTCGGATATCATTTTTTGACCCGATGCTCATTTGAGCGTTTTAGCCTCTGATACCATATTAATATTTATGAGATTCCATCTCAAAACCAATTGAAAATGAGAGGTATAACCCATATCTATTATAAACCTATGTAAGATCCCTCTTTTCAATGTGGGATCCTTAATAGTGGTATATAGATTTATTCATGTAGCCATTATCTTTAACTCAAGGTTCACATGACTGACATGACCCGCCCTAAAACACCATCTAATTCTAGAACGATCAGTTTTGCCGACCATAAACCCCAACTAACCTAGAGCCCACAGTCAAACTTTTTCTTAATTTTAAACTAAACTTTGAATAAGAAGCACTATATACATTACGTACTAATGAAGAACAACACAAACTTTTATAGAACATCTATTTTACACTCATTCCAAACATTATTCACAAACAAAAGGGTGTAGCTAAACCTTTTACAAGTTAAAACTAAATTTGATATGCAGATGCAGAGGATACAAGTTGGTCAACCATCTCTTTAAAACTCAGGTATAGCCTGAGGAGCAAAACAAAGGATAAACACTGAGCTTGAAAAGTCGAGTGAGGGGAAGTTAATAAGAAAATAATTTTGTAAAACTATTGTCACAACCAAATGAAAATGTCAAATGTCTGTAATGAACTTCATAAAAGTCTAAACAACTAAAAAGTCGATAAAATTTTTTCATAAGAAACTTGTAATAGCAACTTTTGAGTGAAACAAAAAGTAACACTCCCAAATCAGAATTTGGAATCCGGATTTAACACCTAGTGGCCCTGGCATTCTCTTACGACCTAGTTGCACCAACTTCTTAACCTGCTCTCTAAATACAATTTTTAAATATATTTGTAAAACATCCTCTTTTGAACTTAAATAGGACTAGAAAAAACTCAACACCACACATGTACTCATAATAATTTGGTCTATTGGCGTAGAGTAGTCTCAATATGCACACTAGAACTAATTTCTAGTCATACTATTGATTTGTGCAGCCTTAGAAACAAAGCAGAGAAAATTTGGTTTGGCATAAAGCAATCTTAATATACATAACATAATAATCTCCACTCATACGTGTGCAGAGTTTAATGGTCCCAAAGATCTCTGTCCAATCATACTATTGAAACACATTCATATAGTGAATAACATGGTGGTTTGAAAACTATATTGATATGAAAACCCTAGCGAATTAGAATTAGGAACCATCTGGGTATATGAACCCCTAATTCACCAACAATAAAACCTCCAAAATCAATTTAGCACAACTCCAATGAAGAGTTAGAATAAGGTTACTTTGTTGATTGAAGACCATGAGGAAAAGAGAACTAGTTTCCTACTTGAAATTGAACACTACACAAGAGAGTTTGATCGAACCCAATTTGAATGTTCCAAGTTTGCAACCTAGATGAAGAATTACAAGGATTCAACCGCTCTTGGCTGGCTTGAAAGAAAAAACACAAATGCTCAAAATTCTATTTTAACTAAACAACATAAATGGTAAGCTTAATTATATATGGCCTGCCAATAAAAATAACCTAGGTGCAAACAATATTAGTCCTTATTTATTTTGGTAAAATAAATAAATAAATAAAATAACCAACTAAACTAATTAAATAATATTAAGGCTAACACTTAGTTAAAAAAAAAAAAAAACAATTAAGGCCTAGTTGGCTAAGCCCTACTAAAATAAAAATAAATGAAATTAACATCTTCACGTTAGTATGTTCGATGAAGTATGATGGAGGCTTGCTGATTCATATCCTCTCCTTCTTTTGAAAGATTCGTTCTCGAATCTAATTTGCCACCTTGAGGAGAAACTTATAATCATGAGATGTCAACAATCTAGCTCCTTTTTGAATCTCTTTTGAACTTTGGGTTATAGATGGATCCATCGATATGCTTGGAGCAATATTTCTCAAAGTAACATCGTTGCTTTTCTTCCTTATCTTTTATTTTATGAATTTATCATATTAATCTTGTTATAGAAGCTTCAATTATATTGAAATCAATTAATATACATCTAATATCGTACATATGTTATTCTTACCTAGATATTTTTTTTTAGTAATTGTAGTAGGTAGAAAAAATATTTTATGTATTTCAAAAAATCTTACCAAAAAAAAAAAATTATATATTCAAAAAAGGTTACAAACTTTTAAAATTTTCAAATATAACAAAATATTTGAATTTTTATTTTCAGAATTTTTATTATTTCAATTTTACCCTTATGATATATATACATTTGATATATTTCTGTATCTGATATACATCCAATCTATATTTGATATACATTCGATGTATATCTGTAACTGATATACACTTAATCTATATTTGATATACATCCTATGTATATGCATCTTATATACATTCAATATATATCTGATCTACATCTGATGTACTTCTGATATACTTATGATATACTTCCAATATATATCTGATGTACCCTTGATATATATGTAATGTACCCCTAAATCTGGTCAATACTAGGGTATTCATCAAAATAGTTTAAACCTGTAATCTAGCTAAACTCCCTCAATCCAAATCTTAAAAAGTTCCTATTTAGATTGAATATCAGTGCATCTCGTGGGCTCTTTTCAAATATTCGGTGAATTAGATGCATATTGAGAATGTTATCTATTGATTATAGAAACTATAGTGGGCATCTCCTTAAATGATAGAAAGTGTCCAAATGGTCAACTTCTAAAGATTTTTATTTGGGTTGGTGTTAGCATATTGAGAATGTTACCTATTGATTATAATTTTGAATATTGTTGTACTTTTGCACCTGAATACCATATTTAACTCTTCTGTTAAAGTAAAATCAACATTATATCATATGTGAATTAGACTATCACATCAATAGTATATCAGACATTCATATTAGTAGTATATCAAACAGTCATTTCAGTAGTATATTAAACACTCATATCAGTAGTATATCAGGCGTATACGAGACCAAGGCATCAGTAGTTTATCAGACACTTATAACAGTAGAATATCAAACACGAATATCAGCAATATATCAGACACCGATATAAATAGTATATCAGATATACATATCAAGACTATATCACACACTCATATCAGTAGTATATCACTTTCATATCAGACATACGTGTTGATATGAAACACTCATATAAGGTGTATATCAGATATATCACATCAGTAGTATATCAAACACTAATATCATTAGTATATCAAACATTAATATCTGTAGTATACCAGACACTCATATCAGTAGTATATCAAAATCAGCAGTTTATCAAATGCTTATATAAATAGTATATCGTGAAAAGCCAGGTCCGTCACTAATAAGAAGTTAATGACACCGCTGGGGATCATATACTATTTATATAAATAGTATATAAATAAAATAGTATATTGAAACGGTCGCAGTGGCATGAGGAGATGACTGGAATACCCAGAGATCATAAAGAATGTGATAGGAATGGAGGCTGTGGAAAGCTGTTCTCATATTAAGTTGCATCCCCTTGTAGAGCTCCTACTAGAAATAGCTAATGAAGATCGGGTACCCTGTCGCTGACAATTGAGTGTGGCCTATCAACTAGCTCTAACTCTAAAGGCCGAGGAAAAGCTAAAGACATCCGTCGGAGGCTTCACGGGAAGCTGTTGCATGACCTCTGGCGCAATTCTTTTAGGACGGATAGTGCATCTACAGATGTGTATTGCCCCAATGTCTCCATTTTACTTTCCATTTATTCTTATCATTTGACAATGTGTGACAGTATATGATCTGTTTTTTATTTCGTTTAACCAATGAATTTGACCATCGACGCATGCTGCAATAATGTATATGCAATCCTAGATGGTTGCATCATGTATGTATGATACTCATTTTTATTTTGGCTCAAACAATAGAATGTGATTATGAATGCACAATGCATGATACTTAAATTTTCATAATCTAATCATGATATGACAACTTTTTTTTTTTTTTAAGAATATGTATGCAAGTGATGTGAATGCATGATTAGTGAAAATATAGTTGAGAGAACAAGAAGTTTTTCCATACTTTGCAAAGATATTACTTTTTTTTGTCTACTTTCATCTTTCTTATTGGCAATTATTTAGCAAAGAATCAAATGAGAAAAGGTAATGTCAACATTGGAAGAAACACATCAACTGTTCTTTTTTTCCTTTTGTTTTTTTTTCTTTATTATTTTTTTTAATGAATGTTTTCACTCGATTGGAGATATACAAGGTAACTTCTCAACTATATCAGGTTTGGAAGGGAATTCTTTTGTAGAGGTATCTCAT